TAAACAAAATGCTAACTCATCAAGGAACTGAATAGTAGAATATCTAAGATAACTCTCACTGCATCTCTGACATAGAACTAAATCACTCGCTGAACAGTTCGGTGACTTATCATTCAGTGATTACTTGTATATATATATATATATATATTTATATATATTGTAACCATTTTTTTTACATATTTCACAAAGCTTCTGTTTCTTAACTTTCATGAAACTTCTTGATCTTAACATCATGCACTAACAAACAACTAAATTAAAACATTGAAAATGTATCTTACAACACTGCCTCTTTTGTGGATTATAAAGTTCTTTAAACAATCCTAGTACACAAATAAAACTGTGTACTAAACAACCTTCAGAAAATAAAACAACCAAAAAGGTTTGGTTAATGGACAGTTGTCACTTACTATCCTATCACTGGGGGAATTATCCCTGGGTAGATGTTCGAGTAAGTCCATTGGTGAGCCTCTGGAAGTGATCTTGACAAGAGCCCTGTACTCATCTGCAAGTTTACTATCCATTGGCAAATTCTTCTCTGAAATTGCCTAGTCGGACATTCTCTCATCAGTATGGAAGAGGGAATAATCTTATCTTGTCTTTTTAGGGTCCATTACATCTTGCTCTCACTGGATCCCACTGTGTGGTGAGTGTTGCCCAGACAGGTGTGCTTTTATCAATCCAATTCCACACTAGGAACCCATTTGACTATACATAATTCTGGTTGCAACAGGCTCTGTAGAAATGAGGTGTTCCATAGGACCATCTAGGTGCATTACGATATGGTAGTGCCATATTATCATGGATCGCTACTCATGGGCTATGATGAGTAAAGCTAAAAGTGATTTTGCCTGTCCCTGCTGATCATTGGATTGAATAAATCGAGGTCAGTTTGTTTTAAAAATTTAGGTAACTTGGTTCACCTATTGCACTGTTTCCAGAGCACTGTTCCTTGGGACTCCCCAATGCACGTCCCCCCCTCAGATTCTACTAGTGGAGTTAAGGAGTCCTTACCACACCCAGTTTCCAGTTGCTGGGGTGGTAGACAGAGGGTTTTCCTCCAGAATGTTTGAGTGTTCCTCCACTCTTGGAGAAGAGGGTGAAGCTGGGGACCCTCCTACCTAGGTCCCTGGATGTATTTCCCATATGTTGGTAGGAACAGCACCAGCCTACGTGGGTGCCTACTCGTAATACCAGTTCAGATTTAATTATATGCTATCTGGTTGGGGTGTGATTGGCCCTTCTTATGAACAATGTCAGGTTGTATATTGTCCATTGATGGAGATCCACTATCTTCTCATAATTCTGATTGCAAAGTGGTCCCATCTTAGGTCCTTGGTTGAACACAGTGTTCCATGTCCTCTCCATAATTCCGGGGGCAAGTGGAATGCTTCTTGCCCACTGGGTTGTAGAGTGAGGATGAATGTTCATAATTTCAGACTGGACGAGTTCTGTTCCTTTGGTTGAGTAAGGCATATATGATCCTGTCTTTCCGAGCCTGGGGTGGTGCCTTTCGGACTTATTCAGGTAGAAGAGAAAGTTTTTCCACTTCAATGTTGCTTACTTTCTCATTGTAATTCCAGTCATTCAGAACACATCACTCTATGGCTACAGGTTGGGATCCAATCAAAAGTATATCCATATATCACATTGTGATCTAATTCCCCAAGCCACCAACGTGAAATATAGGGACCATGAGCCCTTAATTCCAACTCCGAGTTGTGGAACCTCGGTTATCTGGTTGGGGCTGGCTTATAATAATTACTTATGTACTATTCCACCCTTTATACCAATATGAAGTTCTGGGTGAAAAGCATACCTTTCTCAATTTAGTGTGGTTTCCTCACATGGGTACCACTCTTTTCTTGGTACACCTCTGTTCTATACAGACACTTTCTGTATGGACAGTGTCCTCACTGGCCTCTCCACCTTCTCAATATGGGATTCTAGCTAAAGTATCAGTGAGGGTAATTATGTTTTGGAAGTTAACATTTTCCTAAATTGAAAATGTATTTCCAATAATACTTACCTCCACTGACACTCTCCCACCCTTCCTCCCCACTAAGAGCCAGTGTTAGTGACTGGGATGGTGTAAGTCTCAAAAACTGATTACATTATCTGAGTGAGGTGCTTATATACAGTGTCAGGATAGAGGGCGCATTGACACAGGTGGAGGAATTTGAAAAGTAGATATTGCCAAGGGCATTTAAATGGGGTATAAAAGACTAGAGCATGCGAGACCAATGCTTAGGTAGGCAAAGCCAACATCGAGGAATAGCTAAAGTGTCAGCAGAGGTAAGTATTATTGGCAATACATTTTCAATTTAGGAAAATGGTAACTTTTCTGGTTCGTTGACAATTTATGCACAAGTACTCGGATGGTCATGATAAAATTCTATCCATCCCTGTGACATTTTGGGCTCTTTTGCCTTTCTCTCTGTTTCCTTTTGGGTGAAAAGTATACCCTGGTTGAGCCGAGATGTGGGTGTGCCCTATGGAACCTCTGCCATTGAATGGCACTCTCTATGGGCTTTTCCTTGAGGCACTTTCTAAAGGGAGCTCATCTAGGTTTAATGTTTTCACTGGCCCCTTCACCATTTAAATGATGGATTCTAGCTATTCTTCACCTGTCCTCTCCATTTCCTGTGCACTTTCTTTTTGCCTCATTTGAGAATGAAGCTGTTTTTAGCATAAGTGCTTAAGGGGAGTTATTACACAAGAAAGTTGTATGTTGCTCTCCTGTTGGTGGAGGGCTATCATTGCCCTAGCACTGTTCATATTAAACATGTGATGTTTAAGTGGGAGTTAGCTCAAGGCTTCTGGCATACAAATCTTCACAGGCAGATGTGCAAGAGATCAAATTATTCTGTATGTGGAGGTGAGTATCTATTGGAAATCCATTTTCAAGTAAAGAAAAATTTAACTTTCAGCCCACTTAATGAAGTAA